TTTTTTTGACCAAGTGTTAGATATCTCTCGCTATATCATTTGATATAAATATTATATTGTCAATTTGAATTTAAAAGTACATCTTATTACATAGTTTTTAACAAAAAAAAAAAAATTAATTTCAGTGTTATATTTTATAATCATGTTTTATAATTTATTCTACATTTCATATAATTTCTTTATCCTGGATGAATAGCAACTAGAACGTAATAATGAATCATAATTTAATTTAAATGTAGGAGAATACTATATGCTGAATTTACTAATTATCTATGCCCTTATTTAATTTACCAATACGTATAGGTAGTATTATTTTACGTATCATGATATCTCTAACTTAAAAACTTGTGTATCCCCTTATCTTTAATATATAGTTAAGAATATCAAATATTTGTTCAAAAAAATGATTCTTAAATCAACCAAAAGCATAAAACCAATCGTACGAATAGTTTGGTATATGGGTTGCGACTTTTAACTTGATATGTTTTACATATTAAACAATATAAAAATTATATTACTTATGTTCACTTACTCTATCACATAAAAATTACTTATGTTCTTAAAATTCCTCTCACTAACTCTGGGATGAAGGATGAAAGGTTAACTGATCTGGGATGGAAGCAAGAAGGGGAATCTCAACAAATGAAGTTTATAAGGCTATTATTGCTGCCTCATGTGCCGAAACTTCTCGAGCAAGCTCCAGTCAGAATATTTAAATCATCAACAAAATGTGGAGGAGAAACTGGAAACAACATATCAGAGGAAAAGCGAAGATTTCGTGTGGAGGTGTTGGTATGATTTTGTTAGATCAAAAGCTCAACTGATTATGAAACACAAATTATCAAATATGTGGAGAAGAAGTGGAGGGCTTGAATCATATCCTATTTAAATGTTCAAGAGCAAAAAATCTGCTGGAAACTTAGTGGTGATCTCATGGGTGCTGCATGAAGAGTAGAACATGTTCTTTGAGGGCTGATGGTTAGAGGCATGTACTTCTTGAAAAGAGTTGTTTGTCTATTTATGTGATGTGGTGGATTTGGAAAGCTCGAAACAAATGGTTTTTCAAATGTGACTGTCAGTGCTCTAATATCTGGTGAAGGAGTTATGTCATTGCATTGTTTGGCAGAAGATGCTAAAAGGTATAGCATAGTTGGCATGAGGTAATTGTTGGGGAATGGGGACTGGAACCAAAAGGAAGCTTTAAGCTCTGATTACGGCTTCAAGGAGGCAAACGACTCACGGTGGACTTCAATTAAGTGTTATCTCAACAATCAAGATAAGGTAGCTCATGCTTTGATCAACAACTTAGAGATATCTGTCAGGACTAGAGCTCATGTGGAAGATTTATGCTCTATGCTTCAGTTAGGTGTTGTTTTATCCTTTATAGGTTAATTGAAAGACTTAGTTTGTATTTGTTTTCTTGGTGTGTAGTAACATAACCTTTGAGAGGAGGGTACTATCTCCTCTATTTGCATTGATCTAGTTTTTCTAGTTATGTCCTTGTCTGTAATTACTTGATTGCTTGTATTTCTTTTTTAAACTTTATAATAGTTGTTGGTTTGCTGTTGGAAAAAAGAAAAAAAAAAAAAGTATCTCGACAATTAAGATACTAAAATCGACGTCGTTTTTGCACAGAAAAAATAAAACAGAAAGAGAGAGAATTAAATCAAGGGTATTTTCGTAAGTCCAACAATTTCCACACGCCGGTGTCTTTAGTGATAACACTTTTCCTTATGTACAAGAGAGAGATAAGAAAGTGAAAGAGGTCTAAGAGCCTCTCCAATACTGCGTTGGAGTAGCGTTTATCGCTAGAAATTGTGCTCCAATGCAGCGCCAGAAATCTGCGCTACTTTGCGATTGTGAATAGTGATGCGCCACATCTGGCGCAGCACTGTAGCATGGCTACAAATTTTTTTTTTATTTTTTTTTTGGTTATGTTTATGCCTTTTAATATAATATTATTGATAAAATTTAGGTATATGCGTGTTAGTAAATATATCTATTAGGTTAAATAATTTTTCGTTTTTTATTTAATAATGTATTACAATTTTATTTTGTAATTTTTATTATTTGTAATAAAATATTGTAATATTGTTGATATAATCTTATTTTGTAATGTTATATAATAATTTAAGTAATTGAATATGTGTAAAACATTATACATTTGTGAAATTAAAGTAAATCAAAATAACAAAAGGAAGAAGAAAATATTTTATGGCGTAAAGGTGTAGAGCGAACGATTAGAGACAAAACTTGTGTCTCTACTCTACAGTAAAGTAAACTTCGCACTAGAATAGAGATAGACAAAAACTTATCTCTACTACTCTACAGTAAAGTAAACTTCGTACTAGAATAGAGATAAGGTTGAGCATGCTTAAAGATAGATTTCATGAGAATCTTATAGCATTACTTTTGCAACGGTCCCATGAACATGTGATTCCACTTCATTTCCCATCTTTAAATTATTAAGCGGTAATGCTCAACCTTTTTCCCACGCATAGATTTCAGTGTATATCTGAACTACGTACATTTTGCTTCACCATTTTCCAGGCTGTTTATTTTAGTAGCGCCAAAGCCAAGGCTCCTGCTTATCACCTTCACTTTCTTCACTAACTTATAAAAAAGGAAAGCAGGTCTTGTAAGGCTTCTTTGGCTTGTGTCTAGGAGTGTGCATAATTTGACTAAAACCGAAAAAACCGACCGAACCGAAAATTTCGGTTCGGTTTTTATCCGACTCGGTCGGTTTTCGGTTTTAGTCGAATGAATTTTCGGTTATTTCGGTCGGTGTCGGTTTTCAGACATCAAATGTCCGAAATAACCGAATCGACCGAAACCGACCAAGAAGTTCGGTCGGTTAATGTTCGGTTAAATTGATAATTCGGTCGGTTTCGGTGGCATAATATAGTTCGGTTGTTTCGGTTTTTCAAATTCGATTCGGTCGGTGGACCGAACCAGGGATGAACACCCTTACTTGTGTCATATGTGAATTGGTCTATTTGTGTACAACGGCTTCTTTTGAATTTTTTTGCGCCTGTCCCAATTTAATTGACAAATACATGGGCTCATGGACCCAATACACTTTTTCTAGTGCCCATTTTTGCTTTTATATTAACAACTATATTGACCACCAAATAGTTGGCTCAAGTGGTAAGCAGTTTGATGTCGCTTATAAGCAAGGTCTCGGGTTCGAGTCTTTGTGGACGCAAAAAATCCTTGTTGGAAGACTCACCCACCACTGCCAAGTGTGCGACTCGAGTCGACCAACGAATTAGTCGGGGCATAGCTCCGGATACCGTGGCTGGCTACCAAAACAAAAAAAACTATATTGACCATTTCTTTGTTCGGGAGATATTACAGTCCCGTTACGGAACCATTCAGTCGCGGTTTGTAACTGTTGAATTATCATGTAACCGTTGGAGATAGTTGATCTAACGGTTACAACTCCCGACGAAATGATTTCGTAACGGGTCCGTAGCATTTTCTTTTTTTTTTTCATCAAGCTTACCAAAATTATTAAAAACATATAGCTACATTTCTATTATATGACGGTACAAAGAGTGTTTGATGCTTGACATTATTTTGTCAATGAAAAAGTGAAATAACATCATTTTTACTCACATTAAGTTCACAATTATATGCAATAAAAGAATAATACAAGGAACATAAATACAAGATACCAAACCAAAAATAATGATCAAGTTGGTGAAAATATTTATGCAGAAATAAATAATGAAGAATATTATTGGCAAACCAACATCAATACGCCGTCGTTTTAAGTACACACCCAGAACTTCCAAACTCTGGTCATCCTATATTACCGTTATCAGCCTTTGTCAATATATTATAATCCGAGTTCAGATTTATGTACTTTTTTTCCATTTTTTATTTTCTTTTATTTATTTATTTATTTATTATTATTTTGCCAAACAAATTTTGGTTCTTTCTTCACAGATAAACCCCTGCACGCGCCCATTCCCCAGTAACCGTTTAAACCCCATTTTCTTTTCCCACCACCGCCATGAAACCCATAAACCCTCCTCGTTCTTCTTCATAAACAGTTAACAATCGAACCCCCAATCACTTTTTTCATCCATTCTTGAACAAGCAAGAACAAATCTAAAAGAAAAGGCGAAATCTGCAAAAAAATTGGAAAAAGAAAGTAAAAAAAAGTGAACTCTCTGCATAATTTTGTGAAATCGACGGCCATGAATCCAAGAAACCTTCTCGTTTTCTTCATCTTCCCCATAATCTCGACCATGGCGTCGCCGGGAAACGTGGACCTCAGTTTCCCGTCCTTCTCCCTCCGTAACCTAACCCTCCTCGGCGATTCTTACCTCCGCGGCGGCGTCGTCGGTCTCACGCGCGAGCTCACCGTCCCGTCCTCGAGCTCCGGGTCGGCAATCTACAACAACCCGGTTCAATTCTTCGACCCGGAGACCAACACCACGGCCTCCTTCTCCACCAGGTTCTCCTTCTCCGTCAACAACGTCAATCCAGCGTCGTTTGGTGATGGGCTGACCTTCTTCCTCTCCCCGAACGACCGCGCACTGGGCAGCTCCGGCGGGTACCTGGGCCTCTTCAATTCGTCCCAATTGACCAAGAATCGGTTCATCGCCGTTGAATTCGACACCCGCCTCGATTTGCACTTTGGCGACCCGGACGACAACCACGTTGGCCTTGACATCGACAGCCTCATCTCGGTGAAGACCGCGAATCTGGATTCGACGGAGATTGCGCTGAAGAGCGGGAACGTGATTACGGCCTGGATTGATTATTCCAACGACAGAAAGAAATTGGATGTTTTCTTGAGCTACTCGAGCTTCAGGCCCGAAAGCCCGATCCTGGCCGTTGATATTGATCTCTCCACTTATCTGAAGGAGATTCTGTTTGTAGGGTTTTCGGCTTCTACCGAGGGAAGCACCGAGAGGCATTACATCCAGAATTGGGATTTCCAAACCCTAGGGTTTCGGCCCGCCCGCCCAAGGATCCACCCCCACAACGTCTCCCAGAACTCTGTCCCGTTAAAACCAGAGATTCCGGTTTCAAATTCCGGCAACAGGCATCACAAGCGGCTCGGTTTGGCTCTCGGGATCGGTTGCCCGTCTTTTGTTTTTCTATCCCTCGTGATTTTTGGCTTTGTCTCGATGAAAAAATGGAGGGGAACGAAAAACGACAAGAACCTGAAAGCAGAGGTCATGGCCGGGCCAAGGCAGTTTAGCTACAAGGAACTGAAGCTTGCCACAAAAGGGTTCAACCAGGGCAGGATTCTGGGGCATGGGGCTTTCGGGACTGTGTACAAGGCATATTTTGTGGACGTGGGCATGTTATCGGCTGTTAAGAGATCCAAACACACGCACGAGGGCAAGAGCGAGTTTTTATCGGAGTTGTCGATAATAGCCGGGCTAAGGCACAAGAACCTTGTCCAGCTCCAGGGCTGGTGTGCTGAGAAAGGCGAATTACTGCTAGTTTATGAGTTCATGCCTAACGGGAGCTTGGACCACGTGCTGTACCAGAATGGTGAAAATGGGAACCCATTGAAGTGGTGCTACAGGTACAACATTGCAGTCGGGCTGGCCTCGGCCCTGACCTACTTGCACCGAGAATGCGAACAGCAGGTAATCCATCGCGACATAAAGACGAGCAACATAATGCTCGACGCTGGTTATAACGCGAGGCTGGGCGATTTTGGGCTGGCTCGGCTCATGGACCACGACAAAAGCCCGGTTTCAACTCTCACAGCTGGGACCATGGGGTATCTGGCTCCTGAGTATCTCCAGTACGGGAAAGCAACGGAGAAAACCGACGTTTTTAGCTATGGGGTCGTTATACTCGAGCTGGCTTGTGGCCGGAGGCCGATCGAACGGGAAGGGGAAGGGCAGAGGATGGTGAATTTGGTGGACTGGGTTTGGAAACTGTATTCGGAAGGTAAAATTTTGCAGGCTGCGGATGGGAGATTGAGGGGCGAATTCGAGCAGGCCGGGATGAAAAGGCTGCTGCTCGTGGGATTGAGTTGTGCAAACCCGGACTTTGCCGAGAGGCCCTCGATGAGGAGGGTTTTGCAAATCCTGAATAATGAGGCGGACCCTGTGGTGGTGCCGAGGAAAAAGCCGAGCCTTACTTTCTCGAACAGTATTCCTTTGAGTATCGATGAGATTGTTTCGGATTGCGAGAGTTGCGGGTCTGATGATTCTCGGTTGAAGATCAGAGTTGATTGAAGGATGCATGGTTCTTGTTACTGGTTTGTGATTCAAGATTCTTTGATTTTTTTGTTGTTTTGGTGTCTGAGTTGCTTTGATTGTGGTGTTGTGCATTTGCTACGAAATAGGTGTATGCTGTTATTCTCTTATGGGTTCTCAGTCTTGTACAAAGTGATTTGGATTATTAGTTGTTGGCTAAAATTCTCATTTGGGGTTGAGAGGGATATTAGAAACAAATAAAAAGAGGAAAATTGGTCGAGTACAATGTTTTTTGTGTCATTCTTCTAAATCTTCTTATTACAAATATAAAGATTACAATGACTTGTTAATATGAGATACAATCTCCATACATGTTGCAAAGTAATTAATTTACTGCTATGTAATATGCCTAAGGATTCACCTAAAATAGTAGGTAAAATTTCACCGAAACATTTTAAATTACTAAATTTTAGAATTTCGATGATAATGAAATTTTTGAAATTTTAAATATTTTTTTTCGAAGCGATTGAGAATAATATATATCAAAACGTACAACTCCGCAAAGTTACAACTCCTAGCTGAATAATACAATCACCAGCTAAAAACCTGGGAGGATTAAGAGAACAGGCCAGAAGACTGCGTATATCCGAACTAGACTCACGACACGACATGCGTCAGGACAAACACAACAAACACAAAAAACTACAAAACTCCCAAGAGGAGAATAGACGATCCCAAAGGGATAATACCCGCTCACACTCGGGATCACAGAGGCCAACGACCCAAACTAAGAAAAACAAGTCCTAAGCGACACAAGCACAAACAACACAAAACTAAACTAAAACATAAGAACCTAAACAACTAACAAACAACGCCCTTCGACAGCAGAAAGATCGAGACGAACCAGCAGATGAACAATCAATTTCAGGGAGAGATCCAAAGGCCTAGGAACTGCAACTGAAACTGCCTAACCGCCTAGCTGAAACCGAAACCAAGCCTAAAACCAAACAAGAGAAACGATTCGTCCCCAGTCGGTGGAACCGAACACCCCTCACCCGGCTAACACCACTAGCCTAGATCACCAGTGCCTCACCCTGCTAACACCACTAGCCGAGTAAAGACACGCCGGCTCCACCGGACCCCACAAAAGAGAATTGAGGAGAGAAGAGCAGATCGGCTCCTCCACTCTGACCGCCCCGACGTGAAGCGCCACAAACCACCGGAGTCTCGCCTTACCCCCTACCATGCACGCCACCCAACGTCGATGAAACTCAGGGAAGCCAACGACCAGAATCCGCTAGGCCTCGCCAGGAGAAGGAAAGGTTGTCCGGACCGCAATGTTCGCCATCATAGAGGTCCTCGGGAGGCGTAAAATGGCAGAGAGAGGGATGAGCGGCTGAGGGAGACCACTGGTCGAGCCCCGGTTTCGCCGAGGAAGACTAATTGAAAGTAAAAAGGTGGAGACGGTGCCGGCGATTTTTGGGAGAAAGGTTTCGAATTGGAGAAAACTTTTTTCGTTATTTTTAAATGAAAATAAAAATAAGTAAAGATTTTATTTCCATCTTCATAAGGAGTTAGTTATTTTTGGGAACATAAATTCCTTTTTTTTTTTCTTATTGTGGATAATATTTTTTTCTGATAGATATTATTATAATCAAAATGCACAACTGTGCGAATACAAGTAGCCCCTAGCTGAATGGAACAGCCAACAGTTGAAAAAGTGGGAGACCAAGCACAAACTAAAACTAAACTAAACTAAAAAGACTCGCAACTATACTAAAAACCAACACACGGACACCAAACACAAACTAAAACTAAAACAACTAAAAAGATCCCAACAGGATAATGCCCGATTGCATAATCCCAATAGGATAATAAGGTTACACCTGGGCTCACAGAGACCAAATGGTCCAAACAAAAATACAAGAACAAAGAACAACACTAACACAAACTCAAAAAAAAAAAACAAAAAAAAAATACTCTATAGATTAGGCCCTTCCACAGCAGAACAACCGGCCCTAACCAGCTGAAAACAGTCAAAATCGAGGAATCCAAGTTCAGAGGACGACTTCTAAAACTGCCACAAGGCCTATAAAAAAGTCGAGTCCGAGCGCAAACCAAACTCCGAAACGACCCACCTCAACAGCAGGGACAACCGAAACCGCACCCACTCTAGCACCGCCCAAGCGTGCCTAACACCACTAGCCGAGCTTAGGAGCGCCAGAACCCCACCGTCTAACACCACTAGTCGAAACAGGGGGTGCGGTTCAGGGCCTCGACTTTGACACACCGTCAGAGCCCCGCCCCACCTCTCGACCACAAACCATCCAATATATCCGCAGACCACCGGCACCTGGACTAGAAAACCCTGAGCGGAGATCCGCCGAAAAAACAAAACTGCCCGAGGGGGCCCTCCATTCGCGCACAAAATTGGAGATAGGAACATAAGCGGAAAAGATGGCTGACTTACCTCCAATCGATACCGGTGGACAAAAGACACTACCAGCTGCAAACCGATCGACGACCAAGGGGCTCGCCGCCTCCAATGACTACAACGCCGGTGAACTAGGGCAGGCCAGACCGACATCGCGGGCATTCCGCAGCAACACTGGAGTCTTGGGACAGCAGATGAGGGGTGGTAGTCGAGCCCGACAACCGACCGACGCCGCACCGCTGCCGAGGAAGGCAATGCGAATCTGGGTCGAAGGTTTGCTGTGGGGATCTGGGGGTTTTATTCCTATCGGGAGAGAGTTTTATTGAATTGTTATTGTGGATAATGTTAAAAATTTGATTCAGTATCGTTTAATTTTTTTTTAATAAAAAAATATTGATTCATTTTTTAGATAGTGTTTTAAATTTGATTTCAATATCATTAATTACAAATTTCCAAATTCGTAATTTGTGGGTCTTCATTTTCTTCTTTCTTTTTCGTTTTAGTCGAAACAATATATGTCATTATGAAACTCAAGCGAGAACACAGTTCTAATACAAAGGGGAAGATCCCAATCAAATCCTAAACTAAAAACTGAGAGGCTCATCTGCATGATGGCCTAAAAACCTCAAGCAAATCAAACAACAACACATAAGGATACAGATAATCTAGCCACTGCCCGTAGGCCTAGCATAAATTCTCTGCTCCAATTACAAACACTAATCAACTAAACTAGAAAACAACACAAAAATATAACTAAGAGACAAATAAAAATTCATCCAGTCTGAGTGAGTTGACTTCAACACTAGGTGCACCGGGATAAGGGAATTTGAAAAATCCACAAGTTGCGAGTCTTCCATAACCACCACAACAGATAAGTAGTTAGCTGAATTATGTGATTTGAAACCTCTGAGTTGGCTATGGAACAGACTTGGTGCCACCAGTACTTGAATGATAGAACATGTTGGGTTAGTCCATCCCAGAAAACAGGTGCTATGGCCCATAATCTCTTAGCCCTGGAGTAAGTAAGCAACAAATGTTCAACAGTTTCCTAAGCCTCTCCACAACACCTACAGCAAATATCCACATCCAGCCCCTTCCTACTGAGGTTGGTCAGTGTAGGCAGAGTACCATTGAGACATTTCCAAAGAAACAACTTGAGTTTACCTGGAATTAACAAAGACCAGCTTCTCTGAAGTGTGTTTCTCATTGGCAGAGCTGAGGAGCTACTTTCAGGTTAGTCAGTGGAAAAGACTTTCTGAAGAGCAAGGAATTTGTATATGCTTGAGACTGAAAACTCCCCTTTCCTGTCAATACTCCAGTACATTCTATCCTTTGCATTTGGTTTCAAGGATTTGATAGCCAAAATAGCATCATTGTCCTCTTTGGAGAAGACTTGCTCAACATGCCACTTATTCAAGTTGGAGCCATCTGGAAGAATCAGCTCCTTAACAAAAATAAGGTGACCTCTAGCAATATCAATCAAATCAGGCCTAGGCTTGGACAAATTAGGGACCCAGTTAACATCATCAATCCTGATTTGGGAGTCACTCCTTATTTCAATTCTCAAATAATTTGTGAAGACATGAAGAACTTCCAACCAACATCTCCAAAGCCATGAATCCTTGTGGGATTTGACAGTTTGAAAAATAGACGAGTTAGGAAAATACATGTCCTTCAGAATCTTACTGACAAGTAGGTCAGGTTGAGTAGATAATCTTCATAATTGTTTGTTGAACAGCTTGATGTCATGAAAATCAATACCTCCATGTAGCTTAGGTACTGACATTTTTTTTTTCCAAAGCGATAGATAATCTCCATTAAAACTAACAAACAAACGATATAATGTTCAATACAAACCGGACAATCCGCCACAAACAAAAAAAAAAGAGAGAGATACACTCAAGAGTGATCTAAAGCCAACAACCGAACTACAAACCTCAAGCAAGGACTAATCCCCGAGACTTAAGGTTGTAAATCCACCGAAAACCAACCAAACAACCAAACCCAACTACAACAAAGGCAACAAAACCAAAAAAAAAAAAAAAAAAAAAAAGAAAGAACAGAAAACTGAGAAAAACCAATAAAAACTGGCTACTGATCCTCAAGCTCCATCCTCGAGCTTGAGGATTAATTTAGACCAGCTGTTCCAGTGTATGCCAGAAGTATTATTTTCATTGGTTTTCCACCAGAAATGAGCACACCCTAGAAATGTCTTTACAAATAGATAGAGGGAGTTTGAAACATGACATAGTGAACACAGACAGAGCTTGGATCACAACTTTAATAGAACCTTTTTTCCCGCAGGTGAAAGGAGTTTGGATTTCCACCATTGCAATTTGCTCTATATTGATACAGTAGATAAGCAAGCACATCCTTTTTAGATCTCCCAATGCCCAGTTGCAACCTCAGGTACCTAGATGATCTGTGGGATTGAATACCATGAAGAGCAGAACATACTTTGTACTTAATATAAGTGGGAGTGTTTCTACTGAAAAAAAGAACAGATTTTTGGTGGTGAACTGCTTGGCCAGTGTAAAGCTTGTATTTGTTCAACAAGTTCAAGAGGACTTCAACTTGGTCCGCACATGCTCTAAAAAAAAGGCAATGAATCATCTGCAAAGAAAAGATGGGACAAGAGAGGTCCATTTCTAGAAAGTTTAACTCCATGTAACTGTCCAGAATTCACTACATCCACAATAAGAGCAGACAACAATTCAGTAAGAATGATGAAGAGATAGGGGGACAGAGGGCCCCTATCTAATGCCCCTCGAGGGTTTGATGAATCTAGAGACATCACCATTTACTTTAAAGGATATAGTAGAAGAAGATATGCAGACAAGAACCAATTTCACAAAATCCATGTGGAATCCCATTTGAATCATAATTTGCTTAAGATTGAGCCATTCCACTCTGTCAAAAGCTTTCACAAGATCAAGTTTGAGGGACATAAACCAGTTTTTACCTGATGTGTGTCTGTTCAGGAAATGGGAAGCTTCCTGGGCTATGATGACATTGTGCAGGGACTGATAGGTCTAAACTGGTTTAAAGAATCAGGAATAGCACATGTAGGTCTGTCCCTGTCTGTATATAATTGGATGACTGATATCCTTATTATCAATATCGACTGTAGGAATAACAACAGCCAAATACTACGTACGACATTCTTGTGGATATTTATTTTTCAAAATATTCATGTTAAACTGATTTTTAAAATTTATTGAATGATAAGAAGTTAACAAGTATATCTCCTAAATTTATCTTAATTGGAGTTTGTTATTCCACATAAATACAATACGCTCAGAATGTTAAATATATAACCATCGTATTGTCCTCACATCTTTGGGTTTAAACATATTTCGAGACTCAAATATTGATTTTAAGCATATTTAGAGACTAAACTCTTGATTTGAAACATATCTGGAGACCCATATGTGTTCACATATGCTTCACTCAGGTCTTTTCTCCACTCTTCCGAACTTTTTTCCCACAATTCTAAAGATTTTCTTTCGGAGTCATACCATCAAAGACACTGTAGTTTCAAACAGTGGGCATAACTACTATCAAGCCACGTCACACAAAATTAAGTCGCGACAGAACTTATTGGAGAGATAAATATGAAGACATTATATCAAGTGATGAGATGACAGTTTTTTTTTTTTTTTTTCAGTTGAGAGTAATACATTGGAGATGCCCGCACAACCCTAAGGGAGACTGATTTCCAACAATTTTCTTTAATTTAATGCTTGATAAAAACTTTTAAGTGCATTATATAAATTATGTGTGTGCAAGGCAATAGAAATCAAGTCAATTCGTTGACAAGTTTTTTTTTTTAAAAAAAAAAACGAAGTTAATGATCACAATATAAGTATATATAACTGTTATTGAATTTAATCTTTAACCCGTAATCTTTAATTATAAACATAAAAATAACCTCTAACTTTTATTTTATTTTATCATATTAGTAATAAATATTCCAGCAACCTTTATCATTAACTTTCTTTTATTTAATATGTCTGATATAAAATAGATTTATATGTTTTGTCAAATAAGTCAAAATCCATCTAATTCAAAAGTGGAAGAACTTAAAATTCATTTAAAAACCAAAAATAAAAATTAAAAAAAAATGCAATATTAAGTCAAGTACTTAGCCAAATTTTCCAACTTGTTTTTTAGTCGATTCCGGATTAATCGGGTCTCCTGTGGATTCGAAAACCGGAAGGTCCCTGTACCAAAAAAAAAAAATTCACCTTGTTTTTTAGTCAAATAACTACCCATACCCATCAAGTCAACCCAAATTATCGGCCATGTCACCCAACAAACACAAAAGTTTGACTGCTACATGTCTTCACGTAGCTTAATTAACCGTTGCAGCCCACTTCCCACTCACCCCACTCCCTCGTTTTCTTACAACCTAATATATATACACTCATCAACCTATTACTAACCTCGTTCATATTCACACACACACACACATACATACATACATACACTCATCAATAATACTATATATGTTATCAATGGCTTCAGCCGCAGCTACCTCAAGATCCTTCAGCATTTTGCTTTTAGCCGCCGTTTTTGCCGCCTCCATGGCGGCAGTCTTGGTGGCGGGCTTCCGATTTCAGGTCGGAGGCAAAGGGAGGGGATGGAAAATACCGACCGGGGACGAGCCCGAGACCTATAACGAGTGGGCCGCCATGAACAGGTTCCGCATTGGCGATACGCTTTGTAAGTTTTGCCGAAATTATTAACTTTTTTACTTGTAAGTTATTGGAATATGCATGTATATAACACAGCAGCTGCTTCTTGCTTGTTTTTTTGATAGACTTTGAGTACGAAAAGGACTCGGTGCTGGTGGTGAACGATGCCGATTACCTCAGCTGCAACACGTCGAATCCCATCTCCAAATTCGAAGACGGGAAGACCGTTTTCATGTTCGACCGGTCGGGCGCGTTTTATTTCATCAGCGGGCTGCCCGGTCACTGCGAATCGGGCCAAAGGCTCATTATCCGCGTCATGCACCCGTCGGAAGTCTCGGCGCCGTCCATTGCACCCTCTCCGGGTCCTGTCGGAGGTTCGAGCGGCAGCTTTGGGGACGGGCGGGAGGCGCCGGGCGTGTGTTCGGCTGGGAAAATCGCGGTTGTCTCGTGCCTTGTGATGACCCTTTTAGGTCTTTTTGTTGGGGCCTACATGTTCGTGTAGGGGTCATTGTTGGTCATTGTTTAGCTAGGTTTCTAATTCCTTTGGACTATGGTTGAGTTGTTTTTTTTTTTAGTTATTATAGGGTTATTTTTGTGTTCTTGGAGTCTAGAGATTGTTTGTTTTTTCAGTTTTGATTTCTTGATTTCCCTAGCTATTTGATATTTTAATTGATTTGGTATTTTGTATGTTTTGGTTCTGATGTCTCAGTTATGAGCCAATATTAATACATATGTTCAGACAGACAGCTTGTTCTTTGTTGAGCTCTGCTATAGCATATTATTATTAATTTCTGTCCCTGATAGATTGTTGTGTTTAATTAATATTTATTAAATATTAAATTCTTGTCATTTGTAGTACTCTATATGTAAATTTAAATATTTGTGTTCATGTAAAACTTTTAAATTACAAAAAACTAAAGTAACTTAAAACTCAATGTATATTTTAAAATTTAATAACATTTCCATTGTATTAATATATGATGTATCAATAACCATATTTTCACAATTCTCAATTTGACATCTATATTTCATTTCATACATATAGTAAAAGTATAAGATTTCATATTATAAATATACATTTTATTTACATAGTAAGATTGTGTAACCATTAAAAGTTCTTATAATAGAATTTGTGATAATTCATATTGTTTACTTTTTATTTATTTTTGGTTGTTTTTTCTTCTTTTCAATCTGGATCATAATTTGGAACTTTATATGGAATGGCTATGGTATGTGATTGATGGTTAGACCCGCTTTGGTCCATTCAAAGAAATATACTGATGATGTAGGAAATAGGCTCAGTTTACAAAATTATATACTCTAATATAAATGCAAATGGATTGGATCTTGCTGACGTGGCAACAAAAAAAAAAAGAGACTCGGTCTACCCTTAAGTCTAATTTAGACCCAAGCAAAGATCTAGTCTCTTTGTATTGGAGTCAATTTTGTTACTTTTATATATTTTTGTCCATGTCACCCAAGACTTAAGTCTATTTACTTGCTACATAATCAAAATTAGACCCAAAGCATTGCAGATACTCTTATAAACTTGATTTTGGTGCAACGATCATATATTATTTTTTGTAAAAATGAAAGTTTTTGGGATACAGTTACACCGATTTTGCTATGGAGGTATCGAATGACTCGACTTATGGAGTCATTTATAGTTATTCACAAATTAATGATATATTAACATGTGTCCTGCAATAAATACACATTGAACATGTGTCAGTACATAAAGTTATTAATGACAATATAAGAGAGTCATATGACTGACTCCATAAAATTTCTGTACAGGTACATACTCTCTTTTGTACATTTGGTTTGACTGAATTTGTTTTACAATGTAGTTCTTCTCTGAAATTGTCTTGCTTAGAATCGATATATAAGTTTGTTTTCCACAATTGAAATTAATAATATTCTTATATATTAATTCAAAACGTAGTGGTCAACTCGCATATTTTAAAATCCTACATGTCACAATATTATACTTTGTAGTTAGGTTTAAATAAAAAAATTAGAAACAAAATTGATTTGGAAAGTGTCATCAATAATTTTTCTATCATACATAATTATCTCACATCAATCTCTTTAATTACCAAATTTGTCTTGATTTTAAAAATCACACAAATTTTTTCTTTCATTTTTTTCATTTTACTAAGGATTTATCAATGTTATCAAAACGGGACCGGACCGACCGGTTCGACCGGGAACCGGACCTAATACCGGTCCGGTTTGAGTGTTTAAACCGCTGGGAACAAGAACCAGTTTTGAACCGTTCGAACCGGTTCAAAACTGGTGAACCGGTACCGGTTCGACCGGTCAAACCGGTTATGAAAAAAAAAAAAATCTTAATGAAAAAAAAAAAAATCAAACAAAAGCAAAAGAGTGAGAGAGTATTTTGATGTTTGATGAATGTATTGTTGGATTGGATATATTTTGATATTTTATGACTTTGTAGTTTGTATTTGTAATTTGGATTGACTTGCTTTAAATATTGAATTATTAATCTATTGTTTTATTGAACTTAATTTAGTAATTAGTATTGTTTATGGTAAACTATACTTAAAATATTGATTTATCAACTCTTATTTAGAAAAATATCATTATATGCTATAAAATTAATGATATATATATAATTATATATTATACATATTAAATAAATAAAAAATTATATATTAGTTCGACCGGTTCGACCGCTGGTCCGACCAGTAAACCATTGAACCAGTAGCTTCACCGGTTCGATGATCGGTCTGGTTTTCAGAACATTGGAATTATATCATTCATCATATCTTTTCATTTTTCTGTACAATTGTATTTACTTTTGTAGTAGATTTATTTATCAATATCTTCTCATGCATTTGACAAAAAATAAATATAAAATATATTCAAAGAGGTAAATTGAAGTTGGTAGTCTACAAGTAATTATTGAATTTAAAGCTAAAGTTTGGATACATATAAACTAGTATGTGCCAGTGACAGATATATTAAATGAATTATTTTCACAGTCTCGTCCGTTTAAATCTAAAAGGTAATAGGGTTATTATCTATTTTCTACTTCTTTTAATCAACGTTAAATCTAAAAAACAACAGAGTTATAAGTTTTTTTTCCACATTTTTAACCAGCGTTGTTTTTTAGCCAGAACATTAAATATGAGCATGTTAGGGCTAACTTGTAAAATAATTAATATATTATCTCATTAGACATTTATATTAATAAAAATTTAATTTTAGCATATAAATTTATCTATTGATATAAGAAAAAGTAACAGTTTTACTTACTCTTGTACACCATATAATATTTAATTAGTATTTTATTATATAAAAAGAAATATTGTTAAATAGTGTAGTAGAATTGTTATAAAATTATATGAAATATTTTTTTTTACAATATGGATTTAATACATTTTATAATTTAATAATATAACTACAATATATTCTTGATGATATAATAATATGTGATACGGGTTTACATAATGCTATAATTTATTCCTTAATGTTAAGATATTGAATTAGGTAATATATGATTTATTAATTTGTAATCTGTCTCTTTTTATATTGAAACTAATCATTTGATTGAGTAGAGATAACAATTATCTATAAATTCCTTCACTTAAGAAATAATTTTTAAATTTGTTCAAGTATTGAATGCAACCCGATTTTCTTGTAACTAAAATGAGAAGAGATTTTGAATCTCAAATTTTCACTTCAAAACCACACGTAAATTTGAATGCAAATTTTATTAAAAATGAATTTAAGAAAACCCATAATTTTAGGGGCATTTAATGCTACCGTATCTTATGATTAAAAAAATCTAAAAACTTTCTAAACATGGTGTGCAATTAATTATAAGTTGATTTTTCTTCCTATTAATTCTAGTAAATGAGATGACTTTTTATGTAAGTATAGATGTAGCAAAACATAGATAACTAAAATAAAAAATAACTTACTTATTTGCACAAATCACTGTTAAGTTAATATGCAATTATGTTATGGCATTGGTTACAAACAATTAGCATTATCTACTCTTACGATAGTTGTATAAACACTAAAATCTATTAAAAATTAATAATAATTAGAACATGTTAAAACTAAGTGTAGAATTTTGTAAATAAATTGATAAAGATGTAAAAAAATTATTTTTTTTTAAATCTGGTATATCATATATTTTGGCCGGTACTTTTTGGTATGAAATCAATATATATCAGTATTTTGCCAAAATGACATTTAGAGGGTTATGTTCCGGCCGGACAATCGTATCCAATATTACATTTAATACCAGTCGATATGGTACGCTATTTAAAACATTATGTTTCGCTATAAACATACATGCCAATTTGTATATTTTGTTAGCAAGAATTTCTGTGTGATCTTTAGCGTTAGCATGTTGATTATTGCAAATTGTGATATCAATTAATTGTATTTAGGTAATTAGCATATATAATATCTTATTTTTATATAATTCGTTTTGATTATTACAAATGGTACTAAAGTTGTTTCTTTAAACTTTGAAAAAAATATTTTGATTTAAAATTATTATATTCATGTATAACACTCTAGCGTCATTTTAAAACAAACAATGCAATTTTAAATGTTTCAAAAATTTAAAATAATTTTTTTATGTTTATCTTTAAATATTTTGATGTAAATATTTCTTAATTCAATACTCGTGTAGTACACGAGTGTTGTACTAGTAGTTTTATTATTTTCAAATATACTTGATAAACATATTTTATAGTAGATATAATACTGTTTTAAATTATATATGTTATGGTAAAAACAGATAAATATTAAATTTGAAAAATAATATATTTTTAATTTGAATTTGTTTTATTAATTTAAAATTCTCAAAATTTTAACAAAGAACCAAGTAACTGACATTTGATCCCAGAAATCTCGATGCAACAGAATTAATTAATAATACTATGTATGGTGGATTTATTATAACATTACACGCATATTACACCCTAAAAAAGAATTTTGGACAGCTAATGCTCGTGTATTTTTTTTTTAAAAAAAAAATCAAAATATATAATATAAAATTTAATATATATATATATATATATATATATATATATGTGTGTGTGGTCGTTTATGTATATTATTAATTATTATATTATATTAATTATTTTATACTAGTATTCTACCTGTGCATTTGCACAAATATAAATAAAATATTGTGAGTTATTTGTATGCATATAATGATTAATTATTTTTCTTTCACGTTTTTGCAACCAAATTTACAATTAAAGGAGTTGTTTTTTTGTTAAATTGCATTTATTAGATTGGATGTAACGTATATTTTAATATGTAATTTTTTTAAAATTATTTATAATTTATTCAGGTGTTTAATATACTTTTTTTTATTTTCCAAAAAAAAAAATAATTTACATGTAACCACAATAATAATATCTAATCAAATTATACGGTAACACATTATATAGTTAACTATCAGTAATCAAAAGTTCAAAATAATTTTTGTATTTTAAATTGATTAGTGTATTGATTATCTATTAATTAGGTTAAATAAATGAAAAGTAACGATTTTTTGGGGGAAAATATAAAAGTGCCGCTTAGGTATAATTTATAAGGTTTTCTTAAATGTAGAAGAGGTAGTAATTATATATATATATATAGATTAATTATTATATATAGACTCAAATAGTTGACACATTAGACTTAACCCATTTCCCCTCTCTCTCTCTCTCTCTCTCTCTCTCTCTCTCTCTCCTTTCTGCTGCTTCAATCAGTTTTCCAGCTGAGGAACATCTCTTCTTCATTATTCATGTCGGTATGTAATCCCAATTCTATTTTATCTGTTCTTGTTTGTTGTTCGTTTCGATTTACTCGATTGTAGCCCGATTGCATCGTTTCCCCTCTTTTTTAACCTTTCTGATTAAATTTTTTCCTTAAATTTTTGTCCGTATGGGTTTGTTTAATCTCGTTTCTTTGGTAGTTCGATCGATCGCTTTGTTGCGTTAATGGCGATGTCTGTTAAAGTTGGTCCAGATTTGATTTTGATGGCGATTGGATAAGCGAATTAAGAAGAAAAAAAAAATGAAAATATTGTCTTTTACCTTATCCAAAGAGGGTTTTTTTTATGGGTTTCAGAAAATAAATTTTATTAGAAGTGCTATTTGATGAGCTTATGTATATTTCATTTTTTTTTTTTTTTTTTTGATTATTAGCTCAAGTGTTGATAGGCAGTACAATATGTTTCCTTTGCATTGAGATCAAAATATCTATGTGGATGTGGATGTGTATGTGTATAGTTCAATGTGTAGGTAACTTGATTGTCTTTTTCTCAATGTGTGATATTTGCATCAAAGAGTTTTTTACTTGATGTCTTTCGAAAAATCTGAGTTGGCTTTGTTATAATGGGCTGGGTGCCGTTTATTTGCAAAATGACTGTGGGTGGTGAAGAGCTATGAACGAGTGGTAAAAGTGAATTTTTTCGATTTTGTGATGCGCCGATAACATGGATGGTGATATACTGTATAGAGATAACAGTTCCATTGATTAATTTTATGGTTTTCTTTTAATATTTTCCAATTTGCCGTGTGGATGGGCATTGTTCAGGGAATCTCCGGGAACAGTCGATTGTTCTAATAGCATTGTTCATCTTTCATTGTATATTGGGTCAGTCTAAAATGGGATTTGATTACCTATTGTTTTGTACTGAGTAGATGCAATGTAAGCTTCAGTGTACATGTTACTGCACAAAGATTGTCAGTTCTTTTTGTGATTTCTATATTTATCGTAGGCCTGATGAGACTTGGATTTTATGCTTACAGATTTGTTCCATGGAATTGTGCCAAAATTAGTCCCTTTTCTGCACGCTTTTGTGTAATAAGAGAATGCATAATATTGTTGCACAAAGCTGACAAGCTAAGATTACTCCATTTACCAGTCTGTGCACCACAATATTGTTGCTTATGTGTCCAATTCACAGAGTGTATACAAATTTTGAAGTTTTACTTGTCCCCTTCTGAAGGCAATGGGTTTTGAAAATAAAATTCTTATTTGAGGACACATCTTGTCTTATTTTGTTTGTCAATTAGTAATATTATGTTCCGAACATACAAGTTGCTGTTGATAAGTGATTTTCTTCTCAAATCCAAGCAAAAGCCAAGTCCAACCTTATCCGTTTTACATATATTTCAGTAAGAGTATGCCCGACTTTTTGTCTACGCATTATGCAGGAGAAAGGTCGGCCATTGCCAAAGTTTGGTGAATGGGATGTGAATGATCCAGCTTCTGCAGATGGGTTTACTGTAATATTTAACAAGGCCAGGGATGAGAAGAAAACGGGCGGGAAGCCTGAGTCCCCCACAACGGTGGCTCCAAATACAAACCATGCAGCAGAACCTTTAAAACCTCAGGGTGTAAGTACTCGTAACTATCTTTTATTGTAATAACTCATAACATTGTATGTTCGATTATGATAGTCAGAGAAATCTTACTGCATTTCAAAACACCTGTTACTGCATGATCTGTGATTATTTCTATAATTGTGTTTTTTCACTAAGCTGCTGCTTTAGGACATCCTTTATCTGATCATCAACAACAAGGATTTTGGTTTTATGAAGTCAGACAAATTTAGGAGTCTGCTATCAAATATTTCATATATGGGGTGGTGATACCTTCCAATTTGCTCTGAATAGACAAATTTAATTATTCTGCATTCGAAACATTAAATTTCCTTTTCTTTGATGTTAAATACTGCTATAAAAAATTGAGAGGCATATGTTTTTTCTACGGTTTATGTAGTACTTGAATATTGAATAGATTCCTAGCCCCGAAAGCTGGTTTTATAGATCAGATTGAAGCTGACGTCTTGTGCTTATCTGCAGAAAAAATGGTTTTGCTGCATGTAGAGCCCAATCGCGCAATCTTGACCAGGTTTATGTGTGAAAGATCAATATATACTGCATATTTACAAAAACAATCCAGAAAATGTTTCAATGAAGCTGCTGCAGGTGGTATGATATGAGGCACTAGAGTAGCCCATTTTGTGTGCTGTAAAGTTGTGTTGATTCTCGAAAGATAATATGGGAAAAACATGAATTGTCATTTACATTTGTTGTTTTATGGTCAAGGTGAAGCCGGGTTTACATCCATCTCTTTATTGTGCGTGCGATCTGTAAAGCTTATGTTTCTCTTGCTCTTTGCTAATCGCCATTTTGGTTTTTTCCGAAAACATTTTACCATCCTTTGTTCTTAAATATGGATGGATATATTCTCTGATTGACACTTACAGTTAGAAAGATATACGTAAGAGCACATGCGTGTATAATCTCGAAACAAACCAAATTCACAAATATCCTTTCAAGAGCATCTCCTACTAATAAATAGGAACAAGGCTCAGCATCGAAACCAGCACAAGTGCCTTGAACAATACCGAATACGGCAATCTCCCATTATCCCTCCTAAACAAAAGTGCGTCGTAAACCGGAAAATTCACCAAAACTATCAGCGCGCACAAACCCACCTGACCCACAAACGCCGACAACCCATCTGTGCCTGACAACACGATCCTCTTCGCCACATAATAACTCAATCCCGAAAGATTCAACAATGCAAATGCCCCAAGCATCATGAACATGAAAGACGAGCTCCCAAACTCGATTATTTCCTTGTCGAACCTCTCTCGTACCTCGTCATCCATCACTTTATTGGTCAAGTCAAAGGAAGTCTCAGAGAGGCCAATCTGCTTGCACAGCGTGTCTATGAGGGCAAAAAGGTAAGACGTCAAGCGTCTGAACAGCCACATACGCTGCTGGTTCCACCATCCTTTCAATGTAGCGTCACATAATAGCTCCTCGATTAAGCTGTAAATTGTTCTTGCAGCAAAAACATACGCGTATGGTGCGAACCACAAGCTAGACACCTGGCAAAAAAAAGGGGGGGAATCAAACATCTAGGCAAGATTACTATAAAAAAAAAAATCAGGCATTGTACCTCAGGGAACAAGGGCACATCATGGAGCAGACAAAGAGCAGGGATGACCACATAACACAGAGTAGGCAATGAAATCAGAGCCCATACAAGGTATATGCAATAACCCATTTGGGCACCCAATTCGATTTTGCCGTGGCCATATATGAAGGGGCAGTACTTGGAAGCAAAAATCTGGAACAGGCCCTCACACCATCTCTTGTACTGAACAAGAGCTACGTTTAAAGTTGTTGGGCCAAGCCCTTGAAAGGCATTCTTGGCCGGGTTGTAATACACGGGCTTCCATCCCCTGCACTGGATTGTGAGGCCTGTCACAATATCCTCCACAGAACCTCCATAAATCAATCCCATCTGCATGTTTCAGCATAATTGCTGTTATTTAAAAGATAAAAATAAAAATGCGTAGAATTTCGAATACATATTGGTTGAAAATCTAAACTTGGTTGGGTTTACAAGTTGTAATGTTACTAATATTTTGGCATAAGCCGGCATTTAGAAGCACGGAAATCGTTTCTTTTTTGTTTTGTTTCTTTTTCTGATCTTTCTTCACTCTGCTAGTACTTCGTAGCGATTGACGAGACGAACCTCTTTGCCCCACAGGGTACCCTTCTCATAGCTACAATCTGCCAAAAGCTTTGACGCCGCCTCCAATTGTTCAACTGTTTTACCTTTTGTGTTATCGTCGACATTTTGCCACTCAAGCCCACGATTCTCATAGTACTTTCCCGACAAGCTTTCCCTTCTGTGGAAGCATCCGGTGCCAATGTAGAGGGTCCCACCAAAACCATCAATGCCAGCAAGCTCAATCTTCACAAGAAAGGCAAAAACAGCTCAACACTACAAATTTTTTTTTCTTCATGCAACTAGTATTTCACTGATACAAAAAGAATGACAAAGCTAACTCGTACTTGAAAAGTTGCACATGATGAATTTGCATAGATGTCATGCTTGGTGGTGTTACTAAACCTCTGTGGGTACTGCACGTATGAAATCTGTTTTCCATTCTTTTCATCCAAAAAGAAGCATAATGCGTCTTTTACAGCGTCCGGGTCATTCGAGTACATGTCACAGTCGAGGTTGAGAATGATTGGTGCATTTGTGATTTTAGAGGACACCCTTATCTGCAAATACATAATAAATGGAGATCACATTTAATGTCTACACAATCGGAAACTTGATATCTAAAATAAATAAATAGATAGAATAAGCTTAAGTTTCTAAAAGAACCTCACAGGCAGAACACCAAAGAATAACATGATGGGTTAATAACAAATACTTCCCCTGAAGTTTAGCCAACTCGCAAAAAAACTTGCAATGACAACTGGCCTCAATGGTAGTGTATTTGTAATTGTAAAAGAAACATTTTTTTTTTGCGAATAACAAAAGCTCCGATGTAGTTTCGTAATTAAAGTATCTCCATTACCAGTGCATTCATCGATCCAGCCTTGAAGTTATGTGCCCAACCTGGCCTCTTTTCTCTGGACAAGTACACCAGCATCGGTAATTTGTTCCCCTCAATATCGACTGCTCGGGAGTTGCATCTATCAATCAAAATCTGAACAAACATTAAAAGCCCCCATAATTATACTCAACACAATCCAAGTAAAACTTATTATTAGTCTGTAAAACCATCACGAAAAATGAATGACCTGAACTATCGACTGATGATCCTGCTTCGTCATTCCGGATTTCCACTCTGAGAATCCTTTATGGTCACCCTTAATTTCTTCCGGGACGAGACCCTTTATCCTAACCGTATCTATCCGTCTTTTCATATCATCATACATACTCTACAAACAAACAACAAAACTACCATTCAGTAAACAAGATTTCAATAGTTGCTAAATCATTAAGTACCCCCAAATCATTTACATTCACCTTCATACGATTCCATTCTCGCGCGAAATCCAATTCGCGCAAATTATTATCCCGGGAGAAGTAGATTTCAGGCGCCCTTGGCTCGACATTGTGTTTCTTGCAGAAAGGTACCCAATGCCTGGAGAACTCGGATGCCTCAACAAGGGCATAGAACGTCAGCTCAGAACAGCCATCATCCGAGAGGTAGACCGCGAGTTTGTCGGGCGGATAATCGTACGACATGACGGAAAGGACGGTGTTGATCACCAGTGACGGCGGCTCCAGCGTGGGGTCCGCCGTGCAAACGAAGATGTCTACTCCCGGTAAGTCGTTCTTGAATCTGCAAAACAGTCAGTGTAAAATTTAATTCTTCCCGGCTATCTATCTATCTATAAAGACTCTGTTTTTTTTGGGGGGTTTCAGTCAATGTTATCCAGAAATCATATAAAGGTAATGGTACTAACCTGGCGAAGAGCCTGTTCTTGAAGGGATAACGATACACGACTCGCCACCGAGCCGCCTGAGTCAGAACCCAGTAGAGACCAAACAAAACCTCTGCAGAAAACATGCCGAGCCAAGCACACCTGACTCGTTCGGCTGCTCTAGGGATGTGTAGTAATCTGTAAGCCCATATCAAGAATATGCCCACAAGCACGGTCAGGCAATAGAGCTTGAAAAAGGCTCTGCCTTTGGCTGCTCTTGTCTCGAACAGAGGAAGCCCAGCTTCTTCATCTTTTGCACCCATTTTTGGCCGGAGTTTGAACAAGGCTCTGCTCTGGTCTCGCTGTTAGCTACTGTCCCCAGACCATCTCCTAATAATAGAGTAGTGGGGGAATGTTTATCTGTACTCACTCAAAATAGAACACACACTCAATTTCCCAAAAAAGAAAAGAACAAAAAAAAAAAAAAAAAAAAAAAAAAAAAAAAAAAAAAAAAAAAAAAAAAAAAAAAAAAAAAAAAAAAAAACAAAATAATATTATATATTAGCTGGATTGGAAAGTCATGGTATTCTAGAAAAAATATAATTTTACTTTTTTACGGTTTTTGCTATGCCAACAGTTGGTTCCATAGTAGAATTAACTTTCTATATATAACAAATAAATCTACCATATTAATAAAATTATATTAGTGTTGATTAAGTAATAAGAGAATATTAGGGCTGAGTATGGGACTAGGAGAATTCCGAACCGTTCCAAAAATCGAACCGAAATCACCCCGAATCGAAAAATAACCGTTGACCGTTTGACTTTCTCCGAACCGAAACGAACCGAAAAAATAATTCGTACGGTTCTGGAGATTTCACAAATATCCATACAGAGAACCGAACCGAACCGTCCCATACCGTACCAAACCGAAGAACCGAAATTAAGAACCGAATTATAACATTAGACGTGTTATTAATATATTTATGTCACATTTGATCCTTTATAATATAGTAATAATAACTATTAACCTTCACATAACTTTCATGTTTAGTAATACTTGATCTACAATTGAATTTTTTCTATTATAAAATAATTATTTAAAATAATATGAAAGGTTAAAAAATATTCTTTTAAAAAAATATTATATTTTATTTGAATTTTAAATTTTTAATATTAGTTGCACAAATTTAGTCTTAACTAAAATTTAGAGTTACTTCTAAAGTTGATTTCAAAATAAAATTTTTAATATGAGGAAGTATTTGAACGTTGGTTTTATTAAAGCATATAAAAATTAAATAACTAAAATTTAGAGTTTCCAAAATAATATCTTCAATATGATGAATTATTGATGAATGTTGTTTTTTTAAAGCATATAAAAATTAAAATATAACTAGGTAGTCATTAAAAAAAATCTAAAAAAATAAATCTCCGAAGATCCAAACCAAACCATATCGAACCGTACCGTCCCAATAGTCCCGAATACCGAACTGAACCGAAAAATAAAAATCTCCGAACCGGACTGAACCGACTTTTTGGTACGGTTCCGGAGATCGAATTTTGGGATCTCCGAACTTTAGTACGGTTCTGGAGATTTATCAATCTCCGAACCGTACCGACTCACGCTCACCACTATTGTATATAGAAGGTTGGCTCCACTATGGAGCCAACTGTTGGCTTCATAGCAAAACTGATATTTTTTATTACCAGTATCGTGTGTGAATGTGAATGTGACCGATGGGAAGATTTCATGCTACCCAATGGTAGTGCCATCACATGGGTGCTAATTTATCGGATAAATTCTCTATTCTTTGAGACATACTTGTCAGAGAATTTGAAACATATTGTCTACTGGTTTTTTATGATTAAAGGATTTATTTAACTCGCATAGAAATTTTATTTTCCATTAGAATTTTCACTTTAGCTATATCAATAGTTCAGTGTTCTTCTAGAGGTGCTAATTCACAGAAGATTTTTTCTTCTACTGAACATATATCTGAAAATATATCTTCTGATTCAATATAAGATTTTTTCTTATAATCTATGATATGATAACTATTAGTCAATGCATAACTTATAACATATGTAACACTAAAGACTGTCGCTAGGTTTATTAGATTGTCTCTTTCAAAATGATGAATGAAAAATAAGATTTTATCTAAATTTGCAGTTTGGATAGACATACCAAATTTAGGATAAACCGTGAAGATAAACTTACCATATGCAAGATTTCCTCTTATTGCACCTAATATGCAATCTTTTATATGTTGGGTTCGATATACCGTACGGAACAGAGTTTACAGCGGAATTTAAAATTTTAT